ATACATATCCCCTAGGTTTGCTTTTACTGCTTTGATACACCGGTGTCAGCTCTGGTCTAACTTGATCTTGAGTATATAGGAGCTACTATATTTCACCTACCTACATAGCTGATACTACTCTCCTTGTTTCTTAATGACCATACCCTTGCATCCAAAAGAACAATGAAATAAGAAGTAGAGCACAGCTAGTAAATGCTACTTATGAGCATTTCCTGTCGATTTCTGGGAATTGTTTACCTAACATATCAAGCTACAGCCCATTGTCATGAGACTGGTTGGTGCCTCAGGCAGCCAGTTCCTCTGCCTCGGCAAGGGATTTCCGCCCCGACATAATTACAACAGCACATCCACTCGGCAGTCAAAGCAAGCCCGGGGTTGTGGCTATTTGCTTTCGAATATGTCCGGCCGTCGTAATCGTTCTGCAGTTGCATGCCAAGCATGTCGTCGACGCAAAGTGCGCTGCACTGTTACGGTAACCGGGATTCCCTGCATCAATTGTTCCCAGGATGGAATTGAATGCACAGTGGCGCAACGACGAGGGCCGTATGTACATGCTTATCAAGATAAAACGAAACAGTACAGCATACAAAAGAGCTATTTCTGATTGTTACAGTCAGCAGGCACGAAATCAGCCCCTGCGCGAGATCCGTGCGGTGCCTCATCCGAGGTCCAGCCCGAAGCAGAATGACGGAGCATCCCGAGTCGACTCCGGTGAGACGGTCGGTGTCCGCACCGTTTCGAATCTCCCAAGAAACATGCCTCAGTCCGGACGAGCTGTTTCGGAGCCAACTGCTGCGACAGGGACGACGACTCCGTATTCCGAGAAGAGCCGGAATGAAGACGAGGAGCGCAGTGCCGCTGACTTTGCCACGGCTTCGTTGGCGCCTCGGGATGCCGGAGCAGACGATATGCCTATATACACTGGTCTGCTTGCATGACGGAATGTATACGAAAACTGCTAACTGTACTAGGCGAATCTCTGGGATTTTCTGCGGTTTTGGATGTGTTCGCCACACATGCTGTCCCCAGACACGTCTTCCGGCCATCGTCGCATCCTAGTCTTACCGCTCAGGATGTCGAGTATCTGAAGTTTAAAGGATGCTTGACATTGCCGTCCAGCGACATATGTCGCGAGCTGCTCCGTGCCTATTTCCACCACGTGCATCCTATTCTACCGGTGGTAGATGCTGCTCAGGTATTGAAGTTTGAGCAGCAGCATGACCGACCAGCCGAATGGAACCTGCTACTCTTGTGGAGTATTTTCTTCGTGGCAGTCAATGTCAGTCCCTCATCACTGGAATTGCATCATCTCACTAACTGATCAGTTTATCCCTGCCGAGACTTGTACGGTCGCCGGATACTCTTCGAGGAAAGAGATGAGGGAAGCCATGTACTCCCGGGCAAAGGTACGCTCTCCATTGAGATTTGCACTTCTGCTACTTACGATAGTGACAGTGTATGTATAACAACGGCGGGGACGACAAAATCACGCAGATGCAATCCGCCCTCCTGCTCGGATTCTGGCACTCGGAGATGAACAACCACGCCCAGCCCTGGTACTGGACGGGAATTGCAATCAACCTCGGTCAGATCATGGGACTCCATCGCGACCCTGACGCAATCAGGTTCAATCCATCCATTACCGGCCGTCGACGAGCTTTATGGCGGCGTTTATGGTGGTCCTGTTTCTTTCGAGACCGCTGGCTGAGTCTTACCCTCGGACGGCCGTTGAGGATTAACCTGCTCGATTGTGATCTTCCGATGCCCTCAACAGCGGATGTTCTGAGTGATTTGTCCGAAGTGTCGCCATCGGTGGCAAGCCTGTTCATCCCGGGGGACCTGGCTCAGTTGGGCGAGTATTGGATACTCCTGCTGCGGTTGTCCAAGGTCCTGGGCGATGCGCTGACCCTGAGCAATCAGCCGAAAAGACCGAATCCTACTATTGAGCAAGTTGAAGCTATAGAGTCCGAGCTTCTGACTCTCGAGATTCCGCACGAATGTAGCTCCGAGCAGAGCGAGTGGGCACGGTTTGCCGTTTACCACTTGCAGTTGCATTATCAGTACGTCGACCTCTCATACTCGTTACTAGCACACTGACATGAGAAGAGCGTTCCTGATTACATTCTACCGCCCTTTTACAAAGCGACTCCCAGAAGGTGTGCCTTCAATCAATCAGACAACCTATCAGTCGGCAGTCCGTGCCAAAGTAGACGCTGCTGCACTGCAGACGAACACCATCCTCGACGCTTTGGCCCGTGAGAAACTCCTCAATTTTGCCGGCCCAATGACGTATGTTTCCTCTCTACTTTTCCTCTCTACCCTGCGATCCTGTCTCTAACCAGATGTAGTCCACCCCTCCTCGTCCCCGCCATGCACATCCACCTGCTCAACTGCAAGTCAGACGATCCGCTCACGCGGCAGCTCAGTCTCAACAAACTCGACTTTTGCATGTTAATCCTCAAGGTCATGCAGGACGTGCACACGGCCGCGTCGTATTACCGGGGTATATTCTCTGAAGCGATTCGCCATCTTTCATCCACCGCGAGCAAGCCAGCCGGGCAGGGACCGGTTGTCATCGAGACGCCGGCGTCTATCCCAGGCGAACCCGCAATGGAGACGCTGCTCAGCGGTGATTTTCTGGACGGGTTGATGGACGAGGCTTCGTTTTTTAATTTCTGGGAACCACTCAGCCATATGTGATCGGAAGACACAATGCATCTATCTTTGTTCTTTAAGTCTCTAAAGTCTATATACAATCCTCAACTATCGAATGCTGGGCTCACGCGTCCGACTTGTGAGGCCACTTGACCCTCTTCTCAGCCCTCACATACAGATTATTGGGTCTAATCAACTGAAACATCGGATCATACTCAATCGTGCCATCCCCCTCCCGCGTAAACTTATACCGGTAGATCAACTTGGGCAGGAACACCTTGATCTCCTGCAGCGCAAAATTGAACCCGATGCACATGCGCGGCCCCATCGCAAACGGGATATACGCCGCCTTGTGCCGCTGCTTCACCTCGTCCGTATCCCACCGGTCTGGGTTGAAGCGCGCAGGGTTATCCCAGATGGCAGGGTTATTGTGGATGTGATGCAGGGCGGGGATGACGACTGCGTCCTTGGGGATTTTGTATCCCCCCGGTAGGATCAAGTCGAGCTTGGCGGTGCGGCCGGGCTGGAAGGAGGGGTTGTGTCGGCGCTGCGTTTCCTTGATGTACTTGTCGAGGAAGGTGAGTTTGTCGGTGAAGTCGGCTGTGATCTCTGTGTTGTCGTCGAAGCCGTGGTCGACAAGTTCCTGGAGCAGACGGTCCTGCATGCCGGGGTAGGTGACCAGGCCGTAGATAAGCCAGGAGAGGAGCGAGCTGGTCGTCGTGAAGCCCGCGCCGGTGGCTACGACGAGGGCCCAGACGAGGCTGGACTTGGGCAGTTTCTCGCCTTTGTTGTCTGTTGCGCGGATGGCATAGTCTATCGCCGTTAGCAGCTGTCGTTAGGGCGGAGTTGGTATAGTATACTCACCAACCATGTTCGCCGCTTGCAGCGCGGCATCCTGTAAGGGTAGATCCTCGACGCCTCCGCGCTGCGCCTTCTGCACCGATTCCTCAACCAGCTGCACGATGCGCGTCTTGGTGTCCTTCAGACGCTTGGGATCGCCAAACGGTAGACTGGCGTACCAGTCGCCTTTGGACGTCACCTTCTTGTTCAGCGACAGCACCTCCGCGATCAAGTGCACCATCTCGTGGATCGGCGCGTCCGCCGAAGAGAAGTGTTCAAAGTCGATGCCTAGCGTCAGTTTGCCCACCGCCTGCGAGCCCAGCTTCAGCATGTACTGGTACACGTTCCAGGCCTCGCCCCGCTCATCCAGCTGATCGAATATGGTGCATGCATCCTCGACGGACTTCTGCATGGTGGGCGCGTAGTGTCGGACAGCCTTGGGACCTAATGCCGGCGGGAGGAATTTGTGCGCAACACGCCATTCGGGGGTATCTGTGTCTCCCAGGAACACGCCGGCGGAGGGGGTTTTGAGCGAGTACAGCGGGTGCGCCTCGTTGATTTTCTTGGTGAAGAAGTCGGATTCGTTGAAGACGATGGCGGAGAGGACGGGGTCGTTTGTCTGGTAGACTGTGCGGCCCAGAGTGTTGGTCTTGATCAGGGGGCCGTACTGCTCGAAGAGACGCTGGTAGTTGCCCAGGTGGTCTGGGAAGACCTGGAAGAAGTTGCCGAAGAAGGGGAGGCCGTTGGGCGAGGGGGCGTCCCGGACGGCATGGCCGTCTATGGTGATGGCGACGGGAGTTGTGGATGAGACGATCTCATTGATATCCGTGAGGCTTATGTCTTGTCCGGAGAATTCGATTCCTAGGAGAGTCAGTGTCGTCAGTCGAGCATTGGAGTTAGACTCACCACTTGGTTCGACAATGGCAAAATGAGATGCAATCAGGTTCCTCAAGCCCTCGAGATCATTGGTGCCGTCAAGCGAGATTGTCCTCGCTGACGAGATCGATTCACCCAGAAGGTAAAACTGTTGTGATGGCATTTTGGTAGCTGCTCTTTAGGTTTGGTTGCTGACTGACAGTGCAGACAAGACTTCTGATCTTGTTGACAGCTTATATACAAGTATTTGACTGCCAGACATATAATTACTCACGGATAGCAAAGACAGCACCTGTATACTCGGGCGGCATGCCGCGGACGCATTTTTAGAACTGACATTCCGATTGGCTATATTACCTCGGTATTCATCAAATCGCTCCACTGATCTACGTGCCTCAATTGCCGGTGACGATGACAGGCACGTTCTCGGTCGATGGCCAATAGGATGAATAGAAGATAACAAGGACAAAGTAATTTCCAGCCGAATAGCCGTTGCCGAAACGGATGAGGCAAAGCCGAGAAATGCGATATAATGCTCGGGACTATATCATTCCTCCCAGCCCGTCTAGGACCTATTGAGTACTCCAAAACAAAAGAGTCTTTTCTCTCCAATACTGCAGACATTCACAATGCCTGAATTTACTACCGAAGACGTTGCAGGGCATAAAACCCGTGATGATCTCTGGGTGATCATTCACGGCAAAGGTACGTCCAGGCTCCCAGGCTCTATCTGGTCTGTCCGGCAGTGCTGACTTGCCTAGTTTACGATATCACCAAGTACATCCGGGATCATCCAGGCGGTGCAGATGTGCTCATTGATGTTGCCGGTACTGATGCGACCGCCGCATACGAGGACGTTGGACACTCGGAGGATGCGGACGAAATCATGCAGACCTATCTGGTGGGAACGTTGAAAGACGCAACGCAGTTTGTGCGCAAGTCAGCCGTGCGTGTTATCCAACCGACCTCCCTGCCGGTAGTGAAAGGCAACAGCTCGTCTCGGGTTCGCAAGGTTGCTGCTGCCGGCTCGGTGGCTGGTTTCCTGAGCCTGTTATACTACATCTCTCCTCGGCGTGGACCCTCGCAACTCTCGCACGCTCTCCAACACATACAAGCATATCTGCCCGATATGCACCACCCGTTGCCGTCAGCCCTGACCGGCATGCGCCTGCCACACGGGGGCTTCGTCAATGGATTCGCAGCCGCGGCCTTGCTCTCCGCTATCATCACCGGCGTCGTTGGAGTCAAACTGTCGAAACTGACGCAGATCGACTCGGGCTTCACTCGATACCCACCTCGTATCAAGAGCAAGGCAAGCCCCAAGCAAGATCCTCACAGCATTCCCGGCTTCCTCAATCCCAAAGACTACAAGACACTCCCTCTCGTGCGGAAAGATCTCCTAGCACCCAACGTTTACCGATTCGTCTTCCAGCTGCCATCTCCCACAGATATCGTCGGCCTCCCAATCGGCCAACACGTCGCCATAAAAGCCACCGTCAACGGACAATCCGTCTCGCGATCCTACACACCAACCTCCAACAACCTCGATCGCGGCTACCTTGAGCTCGTCATCAAATGCTACCCTGACGGTCTTCTGACTGGCCAGTACCTCGCCAACCTGCAAGTTGGCGAGAAAGTGCACTTCCGCGGCCCCAAAGGCGCAATGAAGTACAAGCACAACCTGTGCAAGAAGATCGGCATGATTGCCGGCGGCACGGGCATCACACCCATGTACCAGCTCATCCGGGCCATCTGCGAAGACGACAGAGATACGACAGAGATCAGCTTGGTGTATGCCAACCGTAGTGAGGGGGATATTCTGCTGCGTGAGGAGCTGGAGGCGTTTGCGCGCAGGTACCCGAAGCAGTTCCGGGTCTACTATATGCTCGATATTCCGCCGGAGGATTGGAAGTACGGTAAGGGGTATGTGACGCCTGAGGTGATGGCGGCTAGGCTGCCTAAGCCGGCGGCTGATACGAAGATCATGCTCTGTGGGCCGCCGGGGATGGTTAATGCTGCGAAGAAGGGGCTTGTCTCGTTGGGCTTCGAGGCGCCAGGTGCTGTGGGCAAAATGACGGATCAGATTTTTTGTTTTTAGTTTATATTTGTCGGTGGCTGTCTGTATGTGTATAACAGAGGATAGATAGTTTGTCTTTTGCAGCATCAGAACTTGGTTAATTTTCATCGTGTGCTACACTGAGCTCCGCTATAATGTGATATGCTGTTGAAACCACATTTAAATGATGTTTACAGTCACTGTTGGGCTTCTTCCATTTGGTGCTAGTATACAAAAGGCAGGCTGAATATCTAAGAACCTGGAGGCAGCTGTGTTGAACAGCATGCACCTTATTATAGCTTAAATCACCTATTTAGCTTTTGGACCAGCGCAACAGCTACCAGCTTCTCAAAATGTTGCAAACCAATTTCCTTGTCCTGTAACACTGTAACGCCCATCAAGAGGTGGCATAAGGTTCCCACTGATAACGCTACCATTGTCAAGAGTGACCTTTTCTTCCCTTTCTCCAACCACTGATCCAGCTTTGATGTGGGCTACGCCCGATGGAACTGAATCGTATTGAAGTGAGGCCACTGGTATATTGAATGGTGGAACAGAAGCTGAGAATCTTCCATTGAAGATTCTCTGCGTTCCGTCGGGAAAGGTATACGCCCCGTTGAAGTTCCCATTGCCGTCGGAAGCAAAGGTACCATAAGCAGTATTAGACATCTATATAGCTAATTAGATGCGGTGTCCTAAATGAATAAGAGTGAAGGAGCATAACGAAGGAAACATACCGTGATTGGCCAAGAGATATTCGGATTTCCAAAGCTGATTTAGATGCTATCGCTGCTTGAATTACAAAACTAGACACTCATGGAGAAAGAGCTGATATTTATGCGTGCTTGAGTCAAGGACTCTGCGTAATAACTACGTTTAGACTTGGGCAAGTGACGTCTAGACTCCATGTTTCATGACGCATTTTTCCGCTGCATGCGGCAGTAGATTAAGGCAGAACTTGAAAAGTTCTTAAGACCTCGCTCTCATCTTCGTCAAACTGACATTTATATACCTCGTTCCTCGTTGTACTCGTCATTCCAGGGCTTCCCGCTGCGGCAGCGAGCGGCACCAGTACCATGCAATGCAGAAACCCGTAACCAGGGCTTCTAGAAAACTTTACGAAAGTGGCTTAGCGTGTTTCACATGAGGGTAGGCGAACGCATTCAAGAGAATGAACATTTGCAATGGTATTGCATCCAGCTGTAACCAGGGCGCTATCCATCTATTTCATGGCTTTGATATCGATCGACCGACGAATGTATATAATTTAGTACTAGATATATTTATCTTTACGGACAAGCTACAGATTTTCCCCTCTTTATACTATCTAATAGAGATACTAGTACTAAAGGTATATCCTAAGTCTTATAAGTATCCAGGCTTATAGTGTTGAGATAGCCACCTTTGAAATATGGGCTTGTATATGGTGAAATGGCTTACGTTAAGGTGGTAGGTTGGTTAATATTCGTCATGACGCACGCCGAGATGTTGAAGATCGATCCAGCATGCTCTCCGATTATGCCACCGATCAATTCGACGACAGCTTCTAGAACTCCGGAAAACGGCAAAAGTATTTGATTAATTCACAGAGTGGATACTATGACGAGACGCAATATATGGCTCATCGCCACGATGCTATTGAGAGGCTCCTGTTTTGTCAAGCTTTGCGGCCCGATAGACAGTTGATCGGCATGCCGAGTACCGCGGCAATCTATCCAATCGGATTTGTTTATATCAGCGTTGGTATTCCTTGGATCGTCCAGCCGGTTGCTAGAGGGTATTGCTATTATTGTCCGTTCGGGACGCGTTAACCAGGCACTGAATTGTCTCCAGTGTAGATCCCGCGGCTGCGGATAGTCTCTCATCTGAAGAATGGATCCCGTCCGTCATACCGTCTCGGAATGTGGTCGTCATTCGTCATGTCGGGAGATATGCCGGGAGACATGTCTGTGGCCACTGGGTCCGCACATAAATGCTTTGACTTCCGTTCTGCTGTATATCCTCTTCTCACCAGATTCAAACATTCCTATTTTCCTCTCTGAGCAAATACACAGCAACAATGCATCCAACGTGGCAGCCCCCAAAGAACTATCGTCAGCGACCTGTCGCCATTCTCGGTGCAGGCGTGCTTGGTCGTAGAATTGGTATGCCTTCTCGCATCAAGTGTCCAAGATAGAACTAACTTGTACAGCGTGCATCTGGGCCTCAGCAGGCTACAAGGTCCAAGTCCGCGATCCGAGTCCTCAGCAGCGCGCAGACTGCCTGGCCTACGTCAGGGAGAACGTGGCCTCATATGCCGAGAGCACAGGCCAGAAGCCGGGAGCAGTAGAGGCAACCGAGGGCCTCAAGGAAGCAGTGGACAATGCCTGGCTGGTCATCGAGGCCGTGCCGGAGAAGATCCAGCTCAAGATCGACACGTTCGCCGAACTCGATGCCCTCACGCAGGGTGACTGTATCCTGGCGTCTAACTCCTCGTCGTACAAATCTTCGGAGATGCTTGAGAAGGTGCCAGAGGCGACAAAACGCCGGATTCTGAATATGCACTACTACATGCCGCCGCAGTGTATGATTGTCGAGCTCATGACGGATGGGTATACCGCGGCTGAGATCTTTCCCTTTATGGTTGAGCGGTCCAAGGAGGCTGCGACCCTTCCGTATGTGGCTCGGAAGGAATCGACCGGGTTTATCTTCAATCGTCTGTGGGCGGCTGTCAAGCGGGAGGTGCTGACGATCCTGGCGGAGGAGGTCTCGGTACCGGACGAGATTGACTCGATGTGGCAGGAGATGTTTATCAAGGGAGGGTCTGCGCCTTGCAAGACAATGGACGGTGCGTATTCCCTTTGATTTTAGCAGCTATGTCTGACGAACGATAGCTGTCGGCCTTGATACCGTCGCGTTTATCGAAAGCCATTACGTTGCAGAGCGCGGTCTCTCACCCGAGAAGACCGTCAACTTTCTGAAGGAGAACTATCTCGACAAGGGTAAGCTCGGCAATAAGTGTGCAAACGGTGGTCTTTACCCGGCGGCATCACCCTCGGCAAATACTACTGCCCAAACCAAAATCATCGCCCTCGATGTTGGTCTGTCGGGCCCCACCCCCAGTTTCAACGCGGGTCAGATCGTCGAATTCTCCGCCGACGGAAAGCTTCAACGAGTACTGGTCAAGGACCAAGCTTTGCCAGACGGCTTGGCTATTGATGCCGCCGCTAAACGCATGTTCTGGACCAACATGGGCGTACCAGGCAAGGACGACGGGGCCGTCTACTCTGCCAACCTTGACGGCTCAGATATCAAGACGATTGTAGCACCAGGGAGAACCAATACCCCAAAACAACTGGCCCTGGATCAGTCCGCTCACAAAGTCTACTTCTCTGACCGGGAGGGACTACGCATATTCCGATGCAACTACGACGGAAGTGATCTCGAGATCATCATCCAAACGGGAGATTACCAACAGCCCGGAGAAATGCAAGACGCCACAAAGTGGTGTGTGGGCATCGCTGTTGCCCCCCGTCTCGGCAAGTTTTACTGGACGCAAAAGGGACCTTCGAAGAGTGGCAACGGCAGGATCTTCTGTGCTGATATTGACATGCCGCAAGGCCAGACTGCCACGACTAGAGATGATATCCGTTGTCTCTTGGAGGATCTGCCGGAGCCCATTGATCTCGAGGTTGATGAGGAGTCTGGAAGATTGTACTGGACGGATCGCGGTGAGCTTCCTTTTGGAAACTCGTTGAATCGGGTCTCGCTGAACAAGACCGGTTCGGAGGTCGAACGGACTGGTCATCTGGGCTACGAGGTTCTCACGCGGAATCTCAATGAGGCAATCGGGTTGAAGTTGGATCTGGAACATGGTCATATCTATTTGACCGATCTTGGGGGCAGCGTTTACCGGACGGACGTGGATGGGAAGCGGAAGGTACAGTTGTATTCGGATGAGAGCCGTGCTTTTACTGGGATTGCTTTAATTTAGACCACTTTGTATCATTTGCAACTCTGGCTTTGATAGAATACGATTAGACTGCGGTTCACCTTATCCTTCCATATATCTAGTCTACACGTCGTTCCCAATCGCCATGGATCTACTCTGTAGATATCGTGCTTTACGACCTTAACGCAAGCATTCATTGAGAGATATACCCTTATGTGCCAATCCTTTAACAAAACGATCCACAATCTCAAGGAGCAACTGAGCTACGGCTCCTCGGCTAAATTATCCGAATCATGTTCAATGTCATGAGCCATGGACGAGCATAAATGAATACGAAAGAGCCGCTTTTAATCCGCTTGTTCCAGTATAGCTCTCCCGGCGGGGATTCTAGGCTCCAATAACAGCTCTCAGAACTCAGCCACCAGGTTGCAGCCTACAGTATCACCATTAGACGCTTGCAGGAGACTACATAAGTCGCATTGGACCCAAATCACACTCCCAGGCAAACGCAAGACTTTGATGACCATGGCAGGCCCTTCTCTGGATACACTTCCTGTTGAGCTCCTGACTGAGATCAGCAGCTATTTATGCGCCCTGTGCTGCGGAACATATCCCTACAGCCTGAGCCAGAAGCATCTCTCCAGACTCAGTCGCACATGTCGGCGGCTCCGAGATGTCTGCCAACCGCTTCTGTTCGACCACTACTACTATTCTTCGCAGTCCGTGGCGCCTCTTCTTTCTTTCCTCCGCACACTGGATGCCCGCCCTGATCTCGCAAAGTGCGTGACTAGTCTGGATTTCCACGAGCCGGGCCACGGTGAGAACCTCGACGACGAAGATCGACAGCTGGTGGAGAGCTGCATCGCCAAGCTTGGTCTCCCCCCATTGCCGGATGACTGGCCCGACTACCTCGGAGTGGAAAGAAGTCTGCTTGTGGCAGAACTTGTGGTCGCATCGTGTCCGAACATCGAGGCCCTCAAGTTTCCCATGAACCCAGAATGGATGGTGAGCGTGCTTGCCTCGCTTCCAAAGGATTTGACCTTTGCAAAGTTGAAAAGGCTAGATATCTGGCATTACTATATCAGCGGCGACCACTATGCTATTGGTTACG